TAGTAAATGCAGAATTGTTGATAAGTTATTATGCATATCCTTGGGTGGATGGTCGAAGTGTTTATGCACATGGACTTTATGACCTGAATCCCTGGATTCTTGCATGGTAAATTATCAGTAAATCTGTATTATTTCAACTTATTTATAATCCTATGAGAAATAATCTGACATGATGAACTACTTCACGTGCCACAATAAATTGGAGTTACCTCCCTTTACCTGTTATATCCTAATTTAATATATACAATATTTTATTCACTGGATTTGCTTGCAGATAAATGTAATGTATTTATGTATTAATTCTGGAAAGGACTGATATAGGCTCAGCCTGTTGTCCAATCCGTTTAACATATGGAATGTTAATAAAATTTTGTTGAAATTAAAAACAACATTCCGCACGTGCACCCGTACTTCCGCTGACGCCGTACTTCCATACATACCATAAAATACTCGTACACGACAATAAACAACTAAACACTAAAAACAGCATATGAAAAACATATTGAGTACATGCGATAAGATAATGTCTGACGCCTACATGTAACTGATAACATTCTATCTGCTTGTCATCTTTATTGTATTCGTATCAACTGTTTACCCTCATCTGCCATAGCTCAATGCTTAAATGAGTCATGGCTACATTTATACAATGTCATTATGTAACGAAATCTCATTTGTTTAGGAGAAGAAATCCTACAAAATATAATATAAAAAGGTTTTTCAATCAATCTATCTATTACACCTTCCGACAAATGTCTTAGGGTACGAAAAATCAGGCAGTAGTTGATTTTTGTCACTAAAACCATATGGTATTACATTATCTAAGAGGAATACTACTTTTTTCACTCCCGTGATTTATTCCACGTGCGATTTGTTTAATATCGTCTGCTGTCAACATGGCTGAACTGGATACGCTTGAGGTGAAAGTAGGTGATAAAATAAGGCTATCTGATGGGGAAAAGGGTGTAATCCGGACAATTTCAAAAACAGATAATAATGTTGGGTTTGATCGTTTCCCAATAGAGCTTAATTCGGGAAAGACTGTTAAAGAAGCCAGGTATCGTTTCGACGTGATACCGGCTTGTCAGTGGTAGCCTGTATGTTTACAAATGCTTATACTCCGCCCCTTTAACGTCAGCTTACGTCATTGATACATTGTAGTATAATACATTTGTAATGTTGCACTCGCTTACACCTAGGCCTAACATTGTAGCCTTTTCATAATTTTAGTCGATTGATGTCAAAATTCATTTTTGAGCATAATTCCAGCCCAAAGTAATAAGTTTCTTTAATTATCTCGGATGTCGGAATGGTACATATATTGGCCTTGATTAAATTGCTTGTTATTTATTCAGTTTATATTCAGAGTTTAGATTTATGCCTGTTTTTTTTTTTTATATAACCGGGTCTGATGAACAAGTCTGGGAGTAACAATAATAACAAACCATAGTGCCAGGAAGTAACTTGTACAAAAACTCAGTGATAAAGGATTACCCCCAAATCAGATTATGCAGGTCTCAACCTGATCATTAGGGCCTATAATCGTTACGAGTAAATGAACACTTACCTTGTTTAAAGAAATGAAATCCCAAACAGTTTAACACTAATATAAATTTATAAAACTCTCCGGCTTAGAGTAGACAATAACTAGATCTCTACTTCCTACTTGTCCTATAAAACATTGCCTAATGATGTAATTCTCTGCATCCTCCGAGTGATATCTCTACGCTACATTTGCATATGCCAGCAAATTGTTTACACACGTATACATGTGTTAGTCTTCGCCTAACGCCTGTGATCTCGAAATGAGAATGGTAGGAACATTTATCCCACACTTTTTAATTGAAGTTTTTTGAAAATGAAGCGGTATATTTCTGCTTCAAATATTGATATCCTTAGATTTTTTAGGCCAACTAGAAAGATGATGAAAACACTCTCCAATATATGATTATAAGTTCATCACTTATTGGAGTATAGGGGAGACTATCATTAGCAGGTTGAATGATTTTTTGGAGAGCACTTAATACCTACATGTTTGAAGGCAGTACTTTTTTATACACAGTCAATATAGTATTTAACATGCGTGCTAGATGTACTTCAAATTAGTATCATTTTGTTATAACGAAGACATTCCCAAAATGAACTACTAAAATAAATGACGATGTGTATCTAGATATGCCCAACTTCAAACCTGTTTGTCAAACATACATACACTTGTAGATAAAATCATATCAATTAGAACTATTAGGCTAATGTCATTAGACGGAGGGATGATCATATATGTATCCTCTTGAGTTTTGATACTGATAACACTATTAATCGATTTGCACTAGACAACCATTTCCAGAAATTTGATAAAGACATTTAATTTTGACTCTTATTCGAAAACGGTATGTATGAGACTTTGGTATGACTATATACTTATCAACCCAAAAGATGATGCTAAAGAAATTCCCACAAGGGACTTATAAAATAAATGAGAATATGCATTCTTTCTGGCCAGTCTCTTCAATATTTTCTAGCTGTCACATAGACGGTATTGAGATATTTTAACCAATTGTGCATGTATGTGATAAAATAATCAAAGACTTACCTAGAACGTACGTAACGTAACTATCAATGTTGTAATACTACATTTCACCATCTATTACTACTACAGCTACGTACCGCATAATGAAGGCAACTTCCTGGTTAAACATTAAAACGGAAATAGTGTTTTGTGTCAAGGCTAAATTGAGATGTGCTTGAGTAAATATGTACTTTCAGTTTTGGATTGAATGTTTTAGCCTTTTCCTCTTTCTTTATAAACAATGGCACAGAAACAAAAACAGAAATAAGGAAGTGTGTCATGGAAAAGCAGCTATGCAGGGAAAAAAGATTTAGAAAACGTCAGTGCACCACGATCTTATATATTATTTAGTCACACATAATAAAAATCAATAATGAGTGAGATTTTGAAATAATGATAGATGGATCAGTCCACTAGCCTCATAATATAGTAAACTTCTGATTTTTTTTTGTTTATGATAGTTTTAGAAGAACGTCAAGAACATGTGTATATTCTGAAGCGTGCCACTACTCGAATGAATTAAAATGTGGTATGTAGGCAAACCTTCGGAACTAACAAAGCCCCAGAAGTGTCTACTAGGTGGGATTCAATTTGCCTATCAAGCTTACAATTCAATCCACGATTTTCAGTCTCATAAAATATTTCATATATACTCAAGTTGTCAATGCTTTTTACAAGACCACTTAAGCCTACTCACTGAGGTATTTTACATTTTTCTTATGGATTTCTAGCCCTTCCGTCATGCTATCAGTTTCCGAGAAATCGAGAAAGATTTTCGCTTTGAAAATACATGGCGTACATAAGTGCAATGCTATCACCTGTATATATCGGAGTACAACTAGGTATATTTCCTAATTCAGTAATAAATCTATAGGCTGAATACATGAAGATACAGTATAGCCTCGTTTCAAAGTGATTTATTTATAAAGAACCACACATGACCAGCCTAAGTGTACAGACGCCCATTATATATGTTTTTTTTCCTTTTTGGATCGCGGTGTGTTTAACCGGTTGATGGCCCTAATGACCGTTTATGTGTTGATGAGCCGTTAAGACAGTAATAATAATAATAATAATAATAATAATGACGACAATAACGTATGTTGTTAAAACTGAAGAAGTGTTGCCGGATGGTTGAGTCATGTATATGTTCAAATAAGTTGTCGATAGTTGTAAGAACGCTTGCCTGTAACCCTAAGGACACTAATGCCCTAGTGAACCGTGGTCAGTCAATCGCCGGTGGGAATGTCCGGCCTATGTTGTCTCTGGAGATAGATACTGATTTTTCAGAGGTGGAGTAGAGGTTCGAAAGTAAACAATGAGTTGACTTCTCACCGCTTTCCTTCAAGTGATTCAAATGATAATGCCGGCGTTTACAACAACGTAACGTGAGTCGGATTTTTAACCCTCGTTTTAATTTTGAGTAAAAAGGATGTTTTCTTTCATTCTGTTTCTTATAGAAACAAGTGATTTGGATTCGATTTCTCGATCGGATGGGAAAAAGTACAGGTTCCATCCGGTCACCTTGTGTTAGCCATTTGCTGCGATTACATTTAATGCTCAGCTTTCAACAGGGAATAAACACTATCTTTTCAGGACGCTACTACTTAATCATTACCTATTTGATGCCAAGGCCAAAATTCAGATATTATCAATTAGGTGCCTCTTACAATATGCAGTGCATATACATAAGGTAGTGTTCCTATTTTAAAAAAGCATATATCTGAAAGATAAACAGCTTTCTATTTTCCTGAAAATCACGTATGGATATATTCTGTACATACACACATTCGTTATGGAGTTAAACTGTTACATTTCTTAGTTTTGCGCCGATGTTTATACAGAAAGAGGAAACGGTTGTAAAAACATTAAATTCAAAACTGGGAGTACATATTTATTCAAGCACAACTGAACGCAGCCTTTACACAAAACAATATTTCCGTTTTAATGTGAAATAAGGAAGTTGTCATCAGCATGCATTAGATAGCTGAGGAAGTATTACGCAAGTGTACAATCTAGGTCAGTCTTATTTTCTCGCATACTCATATATTTCGTCAGACAAATCATGTCCACTTTGATTTTTGTGGGTTATTTATGTTAAACTTCTGCCTGATTGTCATCTAACCGTCTGCGTGACAATTGTAAACTGTGAAGGAAGCTGGCCAGAAAGAACACATATCCACATTTACCTTAATAGTTTGATATGGGAAACTCTTTGTAATACCAAATGAATGTCAGCGTGAAGTTCATGGATCCTCCTATGGTCTGACAGTCACTGTTTAATAATAGTATCTGTAGGCATTGCCATTGCACTATCATCGCAGGGATAGACATGCTTAAAAATATACAAGATATATATATATATATATGATCATTGTTTTTTTGCAGCTTGGTACCGATCTGCTTCCCTTTTGCCACCTTTCTTCCTTACCATACAGTCCTCCTCACAGCAATTCAGAAAAAATGCGAATCATCGCAATGATCGGCGAACTTCGAGATTCACGATGAAAGCCGATGAATCGTTATGATTAAATCACGAAAGTTTGCTGTGACTTCTTGAACGATGATAGACCTCAGCGATTGGGGCACGAAGGATCTCGAGGCGTCAGCAAGACTCACCAGGCTCACTCAAGTGCCATGGAAGATTTCCCATATTAAACTGTAAGATATTATCGAGAAGAGCGAAACGAAGGGATGTAACTCTGACAGACCAGAGTGTCTGAAGAAAGGCATGACAAGGAGTCATTTTCATTCTTAGTTTACGATGTTATAGCGATGTATGTCGATAGATTACATGAAAAATTGTTGTTCTCTGCTTTTTTAAAACCTTATATGTAAGTTAGAATGAAGATCAAATGATGTTGTTTGCACACTCGGTATAATGTGGTTGTGCTATTCAAGAAACGTGCAATTCCTGAAATATGCTGTCTTCAACAGTAAAAGAAATAAACACGAAAAGAAGGGAAACACGCAGAACACGCTACTAACTTGCTTATTGTGAAGTATATAGTTGCATCTTACAGAGCATCAATTAAAATGAAGAAATGTTGTTTACAGAACACAAAAAAAAGAGATGAAAATAGAATCAAAACGTTTCACATTTAGCGAATACGATGTGTTTCTGATGAGTATGCAATGCACTACGTTTCACTCTTTCATTAAATGAAATGACGAGCACTGCTTCATCAGAGACGTATGTTCTGGCTTCAGTGACATGGGATAGAATTACAAACATACCTTATTTTATAAATTAGATGAAATTATTACAAATATGATGCATACATATAGATATGTGTGTGTGTCATTTGCAGAGACATGTATCTAATTTGCGTATCTCCTTGGTCAATTAAAAGACCGTCACTTAGGTACATGTACATTGTTACTTAAATATTTCATTAATTCGTCACGGATTCAGGAAGACATTTCAAAATATGTACATCCAAATAACTACTCATTAAACCATATGACCACGTAACGTAGGAAAATTTTACTTTCCATCAGCACGTATCAGGTATGTGTTATGGTATAAAATTGTGTGATACGTCCAATGAAATTTGGAGCATAACTAGATACTCCGAGAAAAGTGTGTTCATAACCATTTTCATATTTCACATATTGTGTTGCATCCGTTAAAATTAGTCTTATGCTGTGTTTCGCTACTTAGCATATTTATATTTAATTGGTTATGATTTTTGGACATTGTATACATAGATTGAAACTGTTTGTATAACAATATTTCATGACTTGTGATACTGCATGACCGTTACACAACAAATACGAGTCCTCTGTCCAAGCCTATATAGCAATCAGGTAGTAGTCCGCCTGTTTCACACGTGTTACATATACATCATGACTAATAATGTTATCTATAACCTTGAACATGTTACACATGTCATTTTTCTGAGTATGCAAATAAAAATCCTGTAAAAATCGTGATCCTACGCTTTGAACGAAGATTGTCGTTCAAGTGTTGATTTAATGTTTTATCAGTCTTCCTATTGTAACACAGCATGACGACATCAATTGATGGAGTTGCGTTGTTTCAGCAACAACGAAATACTTTTGTAATCGGTCAGAATTTCTAGACTCGGTATACCGTGACGACAGGTCTAATTCACAATACCTCGGCTTTTGTACATGCACACAAACTCTCTCTCTCTCTTGTTTATTTATAGATTCAGACTATAGGAACCCTTGTTTCAATAGTGTAAAATAGTATATATAAATTATCACCGGAAATAATTCTTGTTACATAGAAAACACCATATAAAAATTTAAATTCCTTAGTTACGTCCCGTTAATGGGCAGCAGCCATTGTTATCGACTCCTACCGAAAATGCATATTATGGGCATTTAAAGGACAACCTGAACTCGGAGGGTACACAGACAATGTGGGGTAATGTCTTAAATGTCTACATACATACATATTTGATAGATATGTGACTTTTTTACATCAATATTCACCCATACATGTACATGGGATCTGCTCAGAGTGCTCTCGACCCCTGAGTGTAGCTAGTGCAACACCAAAAGTCATGTGTGTTACATATACAACTTGTTCTTCTCATTTGCATTTTCTCTTGGATTAATATTTACCGTTGTCAACTCGAAATTCTGCTTGAGACATTCTGTTTTGTTTGACATTTGTTATGTCGTACTCCTCAGTCCTACAGAGAGACAAACGTCACCGTGATCACTCATCCTCCACTGACTCGTCCATTCTTCGTGACAGTAAAAAATATAAGCCAAGGTCAATCTCATCTACATCTTCTTTTGAAGATTCCTTCTCTGGTGTGTCATCTTCTACTCCAACTGCTATGGCAAACCAGAACATCCCTCAGTACGGATCGTCCCAAATCCACCCTCCCAGCTACATAAACCCCCCGCCATCAGGGCATATATATCCTTCTGGTCAACACGTCACCATAAGTGGTCCTAGGATCCCGGAAGAGGACATCGATCGCATTGTACGTGCTCTCAAAGTTTCTCTTCGGGAGGAAATACATGAACTAGTTGCGACTGAGGTTAGCAAGCAAGTTACTCCCTTACTTGAACGAGTTCAGTCTTTGAAGTCCGAGAATCGAGATCTACGTATGCAGATCGACGACATTGAACAGTTCAGCAGGCGGTCGCTGGTTAGGTTCTCCGGTATTCCTGAGGAAAACGAAGAAGATACTACCGCGAAAGTGATGGAGGCTGTGTCTGCAGCGGGTGTGGACTTCAGCCCCTCCGATGTAGAAAGATCTCATCGTGTGGGCAAACCGCGCCAGCAGACCAATGGTTCCTCGGCTCGTCCGAGGGCTATAATCATGAGACTCACGACTGTCGATGCCAAGTTTCGTTTGTTGAAATCCAGCCAGGCTTTCCGTAACTCCACATTCTCCAACGTGTCAGTAAATGAAGACCTCACGCGACTTCGGAATGAGCTAGCCTTCCATGCCAGACAACTGGTTAAGTCCCATAAGATCTTACAGACTTGGACAACCAATGGCAAAATTATGATCACGTGTCACGTGTATAACAAATCCGCTCAGAGACTGACCTCATTCCACTTGGACACACTCTGTCAACATGAGTTACACACGTGCATTACACGTGGGATTACCTAGATTTGTAACATAGTACTTCTATTCATATACTTAACGTAACATACTGATTTATAACTTGAAAAGTTATGCATAATAATTAAGCTTTAGTCTTTATTACCTCATTCCATCGTGATGAAATCTTGTCTATTCCACATGTGCTCTCTTTTTGTTTACATCTAACTGTAGGTGTACACGAACCCGTCCGACGGGCCCATTACTTACAGGTAAATCAGCTTATTGCTCGAATTACTTAAGATGTTTATACTTTTCCCCCAAATATTACTTACTCAACTATCAGGTCATTTCAGTTGAATGATATTTATTTCTAAGAAGCAATCAGAAACAATAGTCATGCAGTAACATGTTACGCTATCGTACGTGTAGCTATGCGCATACACATCTTACCCTCGACTATGGAACAGTCGGTGACCTACCTTATTGCCTGTGAAATTACGTCAAGTTGTATCAAGACGTCCCAAGTTCATGTGGAGATTGAAAACGTTAAACCAAATTGGCTCCAATCTGCATGCACCAAATGAACTTTTGTTTTGTTCTCTATTTCACAGTTAGGAGATTGTAAATGTTTCGGTGCCGGTGCAAACTTTCGGTTTTTGTACCATCACCATTTATATCCTTACCATTGATTTTATTTTATCTACACTTGTGACTCTTTGGACCCTACATTTATCATATAAATACTATGATATCTGACAAATATGCCATTGATTTTTTTTTTGCCAGGCTATACGTGTGCGTTATGATATACAGGTAATTGCGTCTGTATGTATATCGACGTATTTAGTTATATGGTGTATATATGTAATTGTATGATGTCATAGTTATAATATCCTCTGGTACCTTCCGAGTTATTAATTCAATCTAAATGTACCTATTGTGTTCCTGTACTACCTTTTTCTGTTCCGCCTTCTTTCTATCTCTTTTCCTCCCTTATTTTCATTAACACTGACACTTGGTACCCGTATTGTGAAGAGATCTTACGACATACAATATACTTTGTTGACTTTTTTATCCAAGCACGCGTTTATTTTCTTTGCATATCTACTGGTATAACTTAATAAATGCCCTGTTGTACTGAATTTTACCGTGCTCGGATTGGCTACTTTTATTGTCGTAACTTGCCTAGTATAAATTGTTGTTATCATCTAAGTGATTCACTGCTCATTGACTATTATTTGGTATAATCGTGGTTACTTTAATTAACAGCTTTGCCCATACGTTTAGCCGTGCTAAAGAATTTAAGAGTCGTGTTCCCCTCGAATAACAGAGTATTTGCACATTCTCTCTGGATATGCTATTCATACTTGTGTTAGCTCATTTGTTCCTATTACTATCAGGTGATGTAGAAATCAATCCTGGTCCCTCACCGGACTCAGAATTGTCATCTGAATCTTCTTGCTCATCTAACTTAAGTGAATTAATTGATAATTCAAAGTATTCCTTTGTTCATATAAATGTACAGAGTCTTAAACATAAGGTGGATGACCTTTTTAGTGAACTGCATAAAGTTAGTATCCTTTCTTTTACAGAAACTTGGTTAAATGCTAACGAAAGTACAGACAATCTTCTTTTTCCTGGCCTCTCCGATCCGTTCTCTTACTTTAGACCCAATCGACTTGGTGGCGGAATATCAGTTTATATTAAAGATGATATATATGCTCAGCGTCGTCATGATTTAGAAGTACCGACTGTCGAATGTGTTTGGGTTCAGATAGTACTTAACAATCGCAACATACTATATGGAACCTTTTACAGACCCCCAAACTCACCTGTATTTACATGGGACCATATCGATCACTCCATTGACCTAGCTTTTAATACTGGTATCAGTGATATTATAATTACAGGTGATTTTAACG